TAATCACTATATATAGTGCTAAGACCCCAGCAGTGAAAACATAAATCTTAAAAACTAGCGTCAAGGTATATACTGTCATTGTCGGTGTTTAATCTATATATGTGCTAAAGTGAAAACATTATCTTAGAAATCACGTCAAGGTATATACTGTCATTGTGCTATAGTGCTAATTAAAACCCCAGCAGTGAAAACATATATCTTAGAAACTAGCGTCAAGGTATATATTGTCATTGTCGTCAAGGTATATATAGTGCAAAACCCCAGCAGTCAAAAACATAAATCTTAAAAACTAGCGTCAAGGTATATAATCATTAATAATCACTAGTGCTAATAGTGCTAAGACCCCAGCAGTCAACCATATATCTTTAAAAACTAGCGTCAAGGTATATATTGTCATTGTCGGTGTTTAATCACTATATATAGTGCTAATTAAAACCCCAGCAGTGAAAACATATATCTTAGAAACTAGCGTCAAGGTATATATTGTCATTGTCGGTGTTTAATCACTATATATAGTGCTAAGACCCCAGCAGTCAAAACATACATCTTAAAAACTAGCATCAAGGTATATACTGTCATTGTTGGTGTTTATTCACTATATATAGTGCTAATTAAAACCCCAGAAGTCAAAACATAAATCTTAGAAACTAGCGTCAAGGTATATACTGTCATTGTCGGTGTTTAATCACTATATATAGTGCTAATACCCCAGCAGTCAACCATATATCTTAGAAACTTGCGTCAAGGTATATACTGTCATTGTCGGTGTTTAATCACTATATATAGTGCTAAGACCCCAGCAGTGAAAACATAAATCTTAAAAACTAGCGTCAAGGTATATACTGTCATTGTCGGTGTTTAATCAATAATAATAGTGCTAAGACCCCAGCAGTCAACCATATATCTTTAAAAACTAGCGTCAAGGTATATATTGTCATTGTTGGTGTTTAATCACTATATATAGTGCTAATTAAAACCCCAGCAGTGAAAACATATATCTTAGAAACTAGCATCAAGGTATATACTATCATTGTCGGTGTTTATTCACTATATATAGTGCTAATTAAAACCCCAGCAGTGAAAACATATATCTTAGAAACTAGCGTCAAGGTATATATTGTCATTGTCGGTGTTTAATCACTATATATAGTGCTAAGACCCCAGCAGTCAAAACATACATCTTAAAAACTAGCATCAAGGTATATACTGTCATTGTTGGTGTTTATTCACTATATATAGTGCTAATTAAAACCCCAGCAGTGAAAACATATATCTTAGAAACTAGCGTCAAGGTATATATTGTCATTGTCGGTGTTTAATCACTATATATAGTGCTAAGACCCCAGCAGTCAAAACATACATCTTAAAAACTAGCATCAAGGTATATATTGTCATTGTTGGTGTTTATTCACTATATATAGTGCTAATTAAAACCCCAGCAGTCAAAACATATATCTTAGAAACTAGCGTCAAGGTATATATTGTCATTGTCGGTGTTTCATCACTATATATAGTGCTAAGACCCCAGCAGTGAAAACATAAATCTTAAAAACTAGCATCAAGGTATATACTGTCATTGTTGGTGTTTATTCACTATATATAGTGCTAATTAAAACCCCAGCAGTGAAAACATATATCTTAGAAACTAGCGTCAACGTATATATTGTCATTGTCGGTGTTTATTCACTATATATAGTGCTAATACCCCAGCAGTCAAAACATAAATCTTAAAAACTAGCGTCAAGGTATATACTGTCATTGTTGGTGTTTATTCACTATATATAGTTCTAATTAAAACCCCAGCAGTGAAAACATATATCTTAGAAACTAGCGTCAAGGTATATATTGTCATTGTCGGTGTTTAATCACTATATATAGTGCTAAGACCCCAGCAGTCAAAACATAAATCTTAAAAACTAGCATCAAGGTATATACTGTCATTGTTGGTGTTTATTCACTATATAAAGTGCTAATTAAAACCCCAGCAGTCAAAACATATATCTTAGAAACTAGCGTCAAGGTATATACTGTCATTGTCGGTGTTTAATCACTATATATAGTGCTAAGACCCCAGCAGTCAACCATATATCTTAGAAACTAGCGTCAAGGTATATACTGTCATTGTCGGTGTTTAATCACTATATATAGTGCTAATTAAAACCCAAGCAGTGAAAATATATATCTTAGAAACTAGCGTCAAGGTATATACTGTCATTGTTGGTGTTTAATCACTATTTATAGTGCTAATTAAAACCCCAGCAGTGAAAACATATATCTTAGAATCTAGCGTCAAGGTATATATTGTCATTGTCGGTGTTTAATCACTATATATAGTGCTAAGACCCCAGCAGTGAAAACATAAATCTTAAAAACTAGCGTCAAGGTATGTACTGTCATTGTCGGTGTTTAATCAATAATAATAGTGCTAAGACCCCAGCAGTCAACCATATATCTTAAAAACTAGCGTCAAGGTATATATTGTCATTGTCGGTGTTTAATCACTATATATAGTGCTAAGACCCCAGCAATCAAAACATAAATCTTAGAAACTAGCGTCAAGGTATATATTGTCATTGTCGGTGTCTAATCATTATATATAGTGCTAAACCCGAGCAGTGAAAACATAAATCTTAGAAACTAGCATCAAGGTGTATAGTGCCACTGCCGGGGTCTGTATTTAAGACCCCAGCAGTGTCAATATTACCTGATGCTAGTTTTAGCGATACAAGCCCCATGTGGCTAAATGTGCAAGGGGAATACTGCAGGTCATGTCCGTGTAGGTGACAGCCGGGAGGATGGTATGCTTAGTAGAACTGAGGCTAATGTTGCAGTCGAACATCGATCAGTGGACACTTGCACGACTATCGGCGACTAAGCAAAGCAACCCAATAAGGACAGAACACAATAAACGTATTCCAAATTGATGTGATTATTATGAAAATCAGTTTTGTAAATTCTATTTCAATGTTTAATTTAATCACTACTATACCAGTCTAACATCTAAAGATCGTAACACATCTGTTTCAATCTTTAGCACAAGTTATATAATACCTAAATATCTATAATATACCCCGTAAAATAATATCTAAATGTCTATAATACCATCCCATCTCCTTCTCCCCACCCCCACCCGCGCGTTTATTCGTACATCCTCCTTTCACCCCCACCGTATTATATGATAGTGACACTTTGAATCGTAGGGATCGCGATCAGCAGACGTCACTGTGCTTTATAAATGATTGTTCATGTACCGAAATGATGTGTCTTTAGTTTAAACACACCGTTAATATGATAAGGGACCGTTCATAATTTAGGGTGTGGTGTGGGGTGTGTGATGATGATCGTGTGTGTGTGCGTGCGTGCGTGCGTGCGTGTGTGTGCGCGCGTGCCCATTTTGTTCTGGGGAGGTTGGGGGGAACATCAATTTTATACACATGTTCTGGGGGGCAGCAATTTTGTACATAATAATATTTAAAATTAGGCTTAAGAAAATGGAAAGGGGGAGGGGGCGTCATTCATTATGTACATGTCATGCAGGGGGGTGTCAAACTTTGTACATAAATATAGAGGGGGGGGGGTAATTCACATTGTACATGCTTCTCCATACAAATCATCATCATCCCCCTAGCCATAAATTATGAACGTTCCCTAACTGAGTTAATGTCGCTTTATGCCGCATCAGCAATATTGCAGCTATTCGCAGCTTGGCTTTGATAAGAACGAAACGCCTTAACTCATCTGTTTAAATAATAAGCTGATCACAGAACACTTGGCACAGTTCAGTGAAAAGCTGAAAACATTGTCAATATTTCATGACATATTTGGAAAGTTTATTGTTAAACAATGAACTTCAATAGGGTGAAACTGCTCACGCATTTTAATGGAAACACCTAACGTTTATCGGAGTCGTCTTGATTTATATATCGCGTTCACGGCTGGTTAAGAAAATCGGCATTTTACAGCCGCATCAAACGATTCTTCATCATTCGAGCAGCGTTTTCTCTACCGTCTGTCGGTCGCTTTCAACCCGTGTATGATACTTAACGTTAATGCCTGACGACCATACAAAAATATTCGTTTTACTGATTTAAACTGATCTTTCGAATAGTTATTTGGCATCGGGCCAACATATAACAATCCCAGGGCACCAGATTGTTGTTACACAGAAGCATTGCATCGGAGTGAAAGATCTGATCTGAAGGAGACTGAACGTTATATTACCTATAGATTTCGAAAGCAACAGGATGGATATTAATGATCGTGTTCCATGATGTATATTGTTTACCTAACATGTGTAAAAACCCACACCATCCCCACCCCAAACACAAACGCACGCACACACCATGTCAGTTCATCATTAGTGCCATCCTTCTCAATATATTTCTTAATAAACTCAATCCGTTTACAATTGTATCTGCACATTGAGAACGTTCCCGGCCTTCGCGTCTCGATCGTCATTCAAGTGCAGTAGTTTCGGTCAAGTTAGATTAATTAACAAGGAAGATTAATTAACAAGGAAGCTTTTAAGTCAGTTTTGTGTACGTCAGTACGGTTTACAATTAGTCCTTTTATTAACCTACCTTGCATCATTGTAGTGTTCAATTAACACACACAGGCTATCCTGTGTACGTACATTAAATTATTACTGCTTGCTTACCGAGTGATAATAAATGTACACAAGACAATTTTAGAAATCATACATCCCTTGAATAATATTTCCACGGTGACAGACAACTGGGACACACTCGGCTTGACGTTTGTTGGTGAATATTCCACAGAATCTCACTTTCCGTGGTGCAATACTTCCGAGCATTCGAACGTGTCACGGCAAATCAGATGTAAAAATACTCGTTCATAATATTAACGAGTGATGTCACATTCAACTAATCTCATTGGTCAAATGATCCAATTGTTGAAATTTCATTGGTCAGTATTTTTAGGATCTATTTTTAGAAATTGACGACACGCGGGGATTTCCTGCTTGGGTATATAAACAAGTTTGCATCAGAAACCTGCAACACACGCCCCACCGAACAAACGAGCGAAATCACCCCTGTGTAGTTTGTGTTACAATAGAATATCATATGTGCGGAAGATAGCGAAAACATCAAAAATGGGAAGAAACCGCAGATCTAACCGAATGCGAAATTCTCAGAATTTCACTCAAATCTGTGCCCGAAAGGCCGCCGAAAACCGGAGTTTTTTCACTCAGGCCAGGACACGAGAGGAAGAGGGAAACCATCTTCCTCGGTTACAGGACCAATATTTCACCCTGTAACCTGTACGTCGGGGAGAACTTCATAGTTCATCAGCTACAGTGGCTCAAAATTCATAAGCTCATCAATGACATCGAGTCGAGTGGAATAGCGAAGTGCGATTTCATTCCAACGCGAGGTGTAAACCGAATGTCTCTCACGGAGGGCGCCGAGCGTATACGAGATGTGCCGAATGCGGGAGGGAACTCTGTCCTGTCAGAAGTTCTTTCATTCGAACTGATGAACAAGTGCTTTGCGGCTAAACTCTTGAAGGTAAATACCCGATACATTAGAATAGTTCATCACACACGAAAATGTAACCTATTCAAATGAGAAAAAGTGCATTAAACAAAGGTATAATCTTTTCTAATTCTCTTTCGCGCAGCCTCTCCTTCTGGTAATCCAAGAAGCGGACTACCTACTGTTTATATCTCGCATGACAATTTACTCACACATAACTTATTAAGAGTGTTGAAAAAATAATAATAATAAATACATGTAGTCATCAAAATATCCTCACGATGTTCTACATCACGACAGTCTGTCTTCAGAGAGATTGATTATGATAACATCTTAGTCTATTTGTTTGTCATGATTCAAAATAATGGTTAAAGCAGAGACCATATCGGTATATTGTCTCTGTTTAAAGTATTACGTCAGTGATAGTTGATGTTCTCAGCAGTATCACAGTTATATGCATATGCATAGTTAAACCGGTGGTTGATAGCTCGAGCAGCGACTCATGTCGGTATGATTCATGTAAATGTCTATGACCATTCCTGACGATTGTTGTGTCTATTTCAGACTGAGATGGAGGTATCCTACTTTCCCACCGGGGGGTCGATCACGGACTACATGTGCGAGGTGTTCGGTCAGCGACTCGGCGTGTCTGTCACCCGCGCCATGAAATACAAGGGAGACTACTGCGAGGAGGACGCCCTACACTTACTGTGCAAAAAATTAAAAGGTAAGGAAACCACGATAAATCATTTCTTGTTTTCATATGACATCAGTGAGATAAAAATAAAGAACTAAAGCCATAGAAAGATTAATGCTCATTTTCTTTCTTAGGGGTAGCCTAGTGGTTAAAGCGTTCGCTTGTCACGCTGAAGACCCGGGTTCGATTCCCCACATGGGTACAATGTGTTTCTGGTGTCTCCCACCGTGATATTGCTGGAATATTGCTTAAAGCAGCATAAAGCTGAACTCACACTCACTAAACGCCTTAACGGACCACTACTTGGATACGGATTAACGCAGGGCGGCAAAACCAGGATATAAGTCACCATTACATATCCCAGTGTTTGAAAATGCTCATATTTGGAAAGGGTAATAACAAATTGTTTAAAGAAAAAAATATAAGAGAACATATACCGGTATATGGTCTATGACTTAAAGAATAATACGATCCTATTCGACTCTCAAGTATATCCATAGAGGATAACGAAATATATTATATACGCGTTTGGTTTCATAAGATCTTCAAGCAAGCATGTGCATTTGGGAAACATCACTTTTGAAGTTTCAGCGATTTAAATAGTGTTGCATCATAAGGGCTTTTAGAATTATTTTCTTTGTCCACTTTTCAATATATAAGTATATTATGAACATAGCCTGATTGGTCATCAAACTAACAGTTTTATGTTTCCATGGTTTCAGGGATAGTGCAGTCCAGCCAGAAACACATTAGAAAACTGGAAGAAACAGATCTTGCACGTGTGGGCGACTGACAAGCATGTGGCCAGGATAATTGAGAATGCCTATGAGCAGGTTCCTGACGACCTGAAGGGAAATACCATGGTCCTTGTCACCACAGCAACAGAGTCAAAGTTCATTTTCCTCAACGCCATCTGAAGAACGGACAGAGTAGCCTGCAGCACCTCCAGGACATCATCAGGCAAGCAGCATGCGTGGAACACACCGGAGCCTTTGGGTCCAGAACATTGGGAAATGTCGACAGTGTTCGCCTGCAAGCAGTGCTTGGTGGACAGCCCAGAACCAATCAGAGATGTCACCTCCAATGCTGTACCATCTTTTCTTGGAATGACCTCGACAGAAAGGGCTGACACATGTTTACATGATCAATATATGAGTCAGAAGAAATTTGAGCCACTGTAGCATCTATCACAATCAATCACCATCATCATCATCATCGTCGTCGTCGTCATCGTCAACATCATCATCGTCATCATCATCATATCATCATCATCATCATCATCATCATCATCATCATCATTACCATCCCGTCCCCCACCCGTATTGTGATTATCTGCATACAAGTAACCGATCTGGTTCGCCATTTATACTAATGATATATATTTTTATACCTTGATGCAGATCCTACCGAGTATCATCTCAATAGCGTATGTGAGTGAACACTTTTGTTTACTTTCTTGAAAATTATCAGTTCACATATTGCTCAGGAAATGTCATTTTGTTACACACACATGTGTTGATATACAGAAGTATTTAAACTGGATATCGACGCTGCAGTTTAATTTGTTATCCGTAATACACTCTACGCATAGATATTAATAGAATATATAATATATCCGTAATACACTCTATGCATAGATATTAATAGAACATATAATAGAACTAATTACACCATTAAGCATAATGGAAAAACCAACCCCAGGAGCATAAACCTTTGAATTTTCCTGTTAATCGCAGTGTTAAACTGTTCACATCATACGCTTCTGAGATGAAGGATCTGTCACCAGTCAATCAGGATGTAAATGGTCAGAGGATTCCGTCAGTTTCCCCGGCTGTGAATACGGACACGTACGTGGTGGGAGGCAATAGTGTAGACCATGACAAACCCTTGTACATAATATCCCTGTCAGTATTATACACCCCCTGTTGCGCTGTGTCTGTGTGGTGTGTGCGAGAGTATGAATATATGTGATTTCATTAGTTGATACAGTATTAATGTATGACAGTCCCCTATTGAACGAATCCCATATTGCAGTGATGTTATCATCACGTGTGCGTACGTCACTGTCATGTCATGAATGTGTGTCGAGTTTATTGTTATACATTGTCAGTTTTATGTTTTATTTTATACTTTTATAATAAATTTAAAAATAGAGTTGTTGAAGTTTCCAATTTGGACGGCAGAGCTGTTGAAATAAAGCACACCTAGGATGCATGGACGCATTCTAGAAACCTGGGGATAAGGGTGTGTATACCATGCTGTTTCGCACATACCCTGGGTTTTGCTATGGAAACGAGATACATATGAAATGAACTGTTTTAATTAATGAAATATACATCAATATCAGGAACCATTCGCTACATCTTCCATTTTAAATGAAACCTACCATTTTCATATCTCTTACAAGTCAATAATTTGATGTGGCTTTTCAATGTAACCTTATGTCATTAGAGACGAAAAACAAGCGGTCGTGACTCGGTTACGAAGACCAGAAACATCAGACTGTGTCTTAAAACGATCTTAAACTGTTTAGTCCACAATCCCAGTTAATATGCATCGAAAAGCTACATATGATACAGCTAGTAGATGTATAGTACTTCTGTTATCACACTCGGCAAGAGGAAGACTTATTCTAATGATATATTTAATCAAGGAATTAATAATAATAATAATAATAGTGCATATATAATGCGCACATATCCACGCTCGTAAGCATGCTCTTGGCGCTACATTAAAACATACATAATATATACAGAGTTAAGAAAACTACAATGAATTGGTGCATAATGCATAAACAATTTAGGCTATTGATGATAATATTGAGCAAAGAGTAAGTTTTGAGATTTGATTTTAAAAGAATCCCGAGATTCGGGGTGTTTGAGGTAAATTATTGTATAATCAGTTCCTTATGCACGTCTACAGAGAGCCCTGTGTGTGGTACTATGGTAGTGAGTGAGTGAGTTTAGATTTACGCCGTTGTTTTAGCAGTAGTCAAGAAATGTCACAACGGGGGACATGAAGAATAGGCTTCACACATAGTACACATGTTGGGAATCGAACGAGCGAACGCTTTAACCACTAAGTTACCCAACCTCTCCAGTACTATTGCAATAGAAATAATGTTTATGAATCAATAGAATACAATGAAAAGTTTAAGTAAATTTTGAACGACAATGAAAATGGAAGCAATGGCGTTATATTTATATTTGATGACTTCACTGCACTTGAAAGTTACAAAACTTATCAGCGATAACATAAATATCGTTTCTACAGCACCAGCCTGTGAGTGTAAACGACCTCGGTTATTGTAAATATTCAACGTTGTGACAGCGTGGCCAATATATAGGTAATCCAAACCGTCGCTGACTAACACAAAGGCACTTGACTACCTTTGGAACATATATACAGTGGCACGACAAACGACAGTGTCTGTCCCGTCACAGACTTGCATGTATTATCATATCAGCAAGCACGCACGCACGCACGCACGCACGCACGCACGCACACACACACACACACACTGAGGTTGCTGGAAATCCCAACTGCGTTCAAGAGATGGTGCATGCAAGATTTTAATAAATGTCAGCTACGATGATAATGCAACTCCATATTGTCAACGTTAAATACGTAAATGCATTTTTCTCTCTAGGTCTAGGATTTATAAAGTTAAAAAGACAAATGAATCTCTGTGTGAGCATTGGTCCGCGGTCTTGAGTACGGTAGACATTGACAGTGGGGTGCTAATCTAAGAGTATAGATTCACTAACCCATGTACAAGCTTAACTCCTACCTCGTTTGTTTCACTTTAACGACGGATACGAATAAGGTAAGAATTATATTCAAATGACCAACTTAAGTACTTTTAATAACCCTCTTAGAATGTGTGTAGTCTTGTGCCCAGCATCAGGTACATATATCAACTTCCTGCACTAGATTCAGACAGTCAACGGTCAGTGTTTTGCGTTCAGCAGAGTAGACCAATGAGCAATAAATTCTTTGTGGTTTGTACCAGTTAGTCAAGACCCGGTGGTCTTTGCGGTACTGTAAATATAGCGTGTTTACAAACCGAGTTTCAAATCCATCGATAACTGTCAAGATAGTTGTCTGGAAGCAAGGAAGAGACAAATCTTGGCCATCACTACGTGGTTGATAAACCAATGCATGCTTTTCTGTTTACATGGTAATCAAATGTAACAAAAATACTACTTTAGTGATTGTTTTGTTCCGAAATTTTATCATAACAGTTCATCGTAAGTTCCTATCGATACTAATTCATTTTCTGTCTCCAATGGAAATTTCACCAAAATCAATAAATATTCCATCAATCAATCAACACAACGAAAAGCTAAAGCGTTAAAAACGAATTAAACGTTACCTGAAGTCCAACTGTAAACGTTGTTTTGAAGACGTCGTACACACCATGTACTACCGCAGCATATCAGCCGGTCTGTGTGTTTGTATGTGTGTGTGTGTGGATCTGTAGCCCAAGGGTAATTGGTAATTGGAGCTCACGAGTGACATCGCTGATGCCGTGTGGTGCGTAGGTGATCTCACCTAGAAACTTGCCGCCAATAGCTGCAGGACAGGCTGTAACAGATGGATGGTGCCGGTAGCATCGGCACCCACGTTCCATGCTATCACTATATGCAAATGAGCAGCTTCATCCATAAAGGTCGACACTCGCAAACACGGATATCAGCTTTCGTAAACAGGTTGTTTATCTGACATATAAACAACTAAGGGTGAAAAAGATGGCCGCTGCACAGTCTGTGGAGAAACGTGTCTAGTGAATATGTTTTTAAACCAACAGACCGACAAGTCTAGTGGACAAAGCGTTTGTCCGGAGAGCGAAATGTTGGTGGTTCTGATCCGAGAGACCTTGACAAACAGTACTAGTATAGTCCTACTTGTCCTGTCAAGAGCTCCCCAATAGGGGACTGAAAAAACGATTGGTTGGCCCTAAGTCAGTATACAACAGTACAACACAGACACACGCGCGCACGCACATGCACGCATGCAGAGTACACAAAGCCCGTCTTCTTCTAGACTACCAGTTGTCAGACTTCCATTTTTTGTGGAAGCTGCGCGGGTTACACAGCTGGCTTTGAGTGCTGGCGATTAGGTCAGGCCTGACTCTGAGGGTGTGGGTTCGAATCCCGGATGGGACTCAACCCAACAAAAGTACTAGAGTCTGTACTTTACTGAGAAAGTCTAACCCTAACTATAACATATGTTACACGGATGCGCGTCGATATGTAAGTGCAAAGATCTTAAACGCGACGCTGAAGCCCATTTCCACCATCCCTGATTCAACATGATTTCTTCCATATTCATGGGTCAGGCGTATGGACGTCATCCTGGACACCCAGTGAGTATGTCCCGCCTGCATACAGAGTTTCGAACACATGACTTTTGGGTTTGAGTTGTGAATCGCACGCAACGACGATCTGGAAAAAAATAATAAATTTGCATGGATTACGTGTAGGATGTAGAATGAAGGATGATAGCCTGAAATTATGCAATTCTCGTACGTTTAGTAATCCGGTGAAGCCCAAGAGCACGCTCACGGTCCTGGCGACTAAAGAAACATAACCGGGGCAAAAGGGGGATTCGAACCCGTGATCAGAGCTTACTTGGACAGAGTGGAGACCCCACATGCCTTCATGTCTCCTCTTGGGTGCAAGAAATACGTTAAACACATTGGTTAGTGAAATGTTCACAGAACACGTCATCGGAGTTTCATGTGTGTTCAGAAACAAACACGTCAACAAGTTGAAGGGGCTTGTACCATAAACCTGTTGTTGCAGCTGTTGTAGATTTGTGTATAACACACAAAACAAGTAATATGTGTGTTCAACGTTTAACATGGCATTCTATACATTTGACCCCGTGAGGATTCTAGGGCAGAATGCAGTTCTCCAGTGAACGAAAGGTTTCATGCTTGTTGTTAGACTTATGACACCCGGTGGTTACAATGTGTGGGTTGCCTGATATGTGTTTAGAGTTGTGTCCCCCTGTGCACGTGGGTTACGTTTGGGTAAGTTTGCAGCACCATATTATTATGTAGTATACTGAGAAGAAATAGGACCTGTATTCCGACAGGAGTTCCTCTAACGTCAAGCTGAAACACGCCGTGGAGAAGCTGCAGTACAGTTCAAAACGACTCTAAACACTCACTAGGATAAACTTGCTGTTGGGAGGTATACTACACACGCAGGATGTGCTCTTTCACTCATGCATGCACGTGTACTGGGACAGTGAGTGGAAATAACACACGCATGCATCCAGTCATTCATCCACTCATGCACACACACGTCATCCTGGGACGCACAGTGCATGCACACACATCCATCCAACACGCACACACATGCATCACATACATACATCCATACATACATACATACATACACATACATACATACATACATACATACATACATCCATCCATCATACATACATACATACATACATACATACATACATACATACATACATACATACATACATACATACATACATACATACATACATACATACATACATACAATAAGTTATCAACGTACCACAACAGCAAAGGGCAACTCATAAACATGGCGCATGTACCATTTCAACGGTTTTATGTCTTCAATGGACAGGATAGGGGGACGTTTTCAGAAGGAATCTACTCTGGAAATTCGAACTTGGTCCATTTTGTTCAAACATTGTCTACGGAATATATGATTCAAAGCAAAAAGCATAGTCGACCTGTTTGGTGTAATTGGGCTCTCGCGCGATCTAAACGGAATGCATCCCGTGGAATCCACTCCGGCCGATCACTGTCGTAAACACCGAACACTTATACGTATGTGTGAAATTTATCGATTAATACTTTAGTAATATACATCACATGTGTTGGATTTTAACAAAATTAATGAATACCTGACTCTGTGAGAAACATAAGATATAACATTTATCGATTAAAACACAGGGATATGAGTATGTGTCGACCATTATAACGGCCATATGGTGAGTGAGTATATCAGCTACATCTGATGTTTCAGTTTGACGTGTGGAGAAAACATGACGCGGGGGTTAGATGTTGATCACTTCTACTGAAAAGAGGATTGCATCAATTAAAAAATAGATGCGTGATTGTTTCTGTTCTGACACAGAAGGATATGGTTGGTTGGTTGTTTTTTTAAATGAGCAATATTCCATCAATATGATCTAAATAGTAAAGCCTAGTCCGACAATCGAGGTGTTGACGTCAAAACATTCACGCAGCTGGGATACTGTGACATACAATGAACCGATTCGCTCAGCCAAACAAACCGATCCGTTTGTCGCCCCCTGAGACTATGGTTGTTAATGACCTATGTTCTTACCAGGGCCTGGTGGTAAAGCGTTCGCTCGTCACGCCGAAGGCCCGGGTTCGATCCCTACATGGGTACAATGTGTGAAACCCATTTCTGGTGTCCCCCGCCGTGATATTGCTAAAAGCGGCGTAAAAGCCAACTAAAACCAAACTCTCACTCAATCTCACCAGGCTGCTTTCTTGTTTAACGCCGCACTCAGCAATATTCCAGCTACATGGCGGCGGTCTGTAAATAATCGAGTCTGCACCAGACAATCCAGTGATCAACATCATTAGCATCGTTCTATGCAATTGGGATACGATTACATGTGTCAAAATAATTAAGCAAGTCTGAACCCGAACCCGTTAGTCGCCTCTTGCATGGGTTACTGGAGACCCGGATCTTCACGTGTGTTCTTACCAGGAATCTACACGGAATCTGGGATATAGGAATATAGCGACTGAATATATATAATAGTACATAGGGATATAACATGTATAACACAGTAATGTAATTCATCTCACTGAACATGTAATACTTGCATAACATACTCAATAAATAGCATAGTAGATAAACGCTTAGTCTCGGAAAACTCATCATTTTGAAAAATCAAAATACATGTAATTCCATTAAAATTGAAAACGAACCCCGGTGTGGGCGGTTCAGAATCTGAAGAAATCAAGACTTGCTTCGTTTCGGCCTTTAGGTCTCGGGAGAGTGCTGGGTGAAAGTGAAATATTGCGGTTCAGAGACCCTGAGACGGATTACTAGTATAGCACAAAGGAATTCAATACTGAAATATTCACGGAGGTGATATATCATGTATTGTTTGGGTATGATGCCACACCAGGACCGATAGATTTGGCTCTGGTATATAATGCATCACATAGTTGATATAACATCATCCAATTGTTGATAGGAAATATATCGCATAGTGGATAAGTCAGGCCTAGTTGATATAGTATAACATGTGTCGCAGACTTGTAAAACATATGACAAAGACGAGGGTAGCCTCGTGGTCAAAGCGTTCGCTCGTCACGCCGTAGACCCTGGTTCGATTCCTCTCAGGCGTACAGTGCGTGAAGCTCTTTTCCTGCGTCCCCCGCCGTGATATTGCTGTAATATTGCTAAAAGCGTCGTAAACCCATACTCTAACACTCAAACATACATACATCACATATTTTATATGACAGCGTCGCCATGTTCAGGTAACAGTCACCACAAACATATTTTTGTGTGGATATACATGTAATACAATGTTATAACTATTTCAGGGCGGTGAGGTAGCCTAGTGGTTTAAGCGTTCGCTCGTCACACCGAAAACCCGGGTTCGATGCCCCACATGGGTACAGTGTGAAGCCCGTTTTTCATTTTTCTGGTGTCCCACGCCGTGATATTGGTGGAATATTGCTAAAAGCGGCGTAAAACCTTACTCACTCACTTATAACTATTTCATATGTTATACATCATATATCACCCTATATCACGTATTTATAACATATTGGAATTTGTATACACTGAAACCCCGATAATCCGGTAGTAAGGTAACCGGACGACATCGTCCGGATTAGTGATATTTAAGATTACAGAACCCCGGGTTATGAACATATAGTTGTTTTGATCAGTGTCCTGGTGAATTAATTTCCAGACTACCTGGGTTTCACAGCAGTTTATAGGAAGCCATTGTTTATGGTATCGACGTGAATGTTCTGTTTATGACACACATATCAAACATTCAGAAAGCTAGTTGTAGCCTATACAGATGTAATAAAGTAGTACTAGTATTGTAGTTGGAGCAGTAGCAACAACAGTAGTTGTAGTTAGTCTTTGGTCAACGACAATATAGTAATGTGTATAAAGGCCAAAATTAGGATGAAAATTGCGCACGAAACAAGCAGTTGGTCCTACACGAGTTCTTTCCCCTTGGAAATGCGAGCGTCTGCTCTACTTCCGGGTGCGCGCGACAGATAAACATGGCGAGAAATGAGTTGGCAGAGAAGAATATTATTGGTGAAGATTTCATCCGTAATTCATTACGTTCCTAAGACAAGGTATGCATGACAGGATAGTATATTACTAAGTGTAAGATGAGTTGGGACTCTACAATCAATGCCCGTGTAACGATCGAAGTTGTAGATTCAGGAACTAGAGCTGCCTTATAAATAAAATTTGACTTCACGTTTAGTATATATGCCTTATTGTTATCTATTGCAGTGGCTGGTTAGGCCATATGCAAATGCATTTCTTCATATAAATAGGTGCATGCGCAGTATGTGAGTTGACAACATGACCAAAGTAGATAAATTGTTTACCGATAGCAATATCATCTTTTTGACAGGTACTTGTTTTAAAAAGCATATTATCCCTTGGATTATCATGTTTGTCATATATATATATATATATATATTTCATGTTAAAATAAAATTATTATTGCTTCGATGAAATCAGTTAGCAATTGTGGTTTACATACTTTTCATCAGAACTCATGATGAATTCAAATGCTTTTCAAAACTACTGTAATATGACTTTGAACATTCTGAAAAGTGCTTTGTTCTGCCATACATGATGTATGTCGTCTTGATATATGTGTTTGACAGTCTTCATGATCTTAGAATCAGTTAGAATCAATTTTAGCAATATCAAATATTAACAACTATGACAATGAATTACAAAAATTATTGTGAGAAATTGAAAAATTGTTTTTGAGTCATCTACAGCTTATCTAATTATGTTCAGATGATGTTTTGGATGGGAGATAGCTACTGAAGAAACAACATCATCATGTTCAAAATAGAGTCATATATTGCACCCTTGTTGATGGGGTATGTGGACAAGTATGTCAAACTCAGCCAGGAGGATTTCCAGGTTAGTTTGTGGGGAGGAGATGTGGTTCTCAACAACCTTGACCTCCGACTAGATGTCCTCCAAGATGTCCTACAACTGCCTGTCATGTTCAAGAGTGGACACATACATGAGCTCAGAATACATGTTCCTTGGACGAAGCTTGGATCTGAGCCAGTTGTCATAACAGTCAACACAATAGAGTGTATTCTCAAGGTCAGGGATACTGCTTATGGGGATTCCAACAGTGCCAAGTCAGGAGAATCTCAAAGGAAGGCATCACAGCAGGCTCGAGCAAGAATAAAACCCAAACGACCAGACCCTACAGACGAACTACCACCAGGCTACCTCCAAAGCTTGATGAATAGGATAGTAAACAATGTAAATATAATCATGAACAATCTCATAATCAAGTTTGTGGAGGATGACATTGTTCTATCTGTAAATGTCAAATCTGCTGAATGTTACGGAGCCGACATGAATTGGGACAGAGCGTTCGTTGACCTCACTGTATCTGATCTCGTTCTACGAAAAGTGATTAACTTTTGTGATCTAACAGTATGTCTGGACAAAACAAACACCAGTGGACGTATTGAGACATACCAGGAACCGATCTTATACCGGTGTTCCGTCTCTTGCCGACTCCATATGACTTACGATGGTATTAATGCCAAGCTGCCAAGAGTGACAAGATTCAATCTGAGCTGTGAGAAGCTGCACCTGTCCATCTCGGACACCCAGCTGCCCATGTTCCTGAGACTGCTGGAGCTTTGCATTGCACTGTATTACGGCACAGTAGACTTTGATGTGGAGAAAGAGGAGCAGGAACAGGAGCCGGACCAGCAGGAGGTAGCCAGGAGCAGTCCCAACAACTCAGGTATGTACAGTCAGCAATATTTCAGCAATATGATGTTAGTCTGTAATTATTAAGTTGACAACATGCTGTGTTGATTATTACTACTGTCACTTGTACACATGATAAATGTCATGTTCTGTGATGATGATGATGATGGTGATGATGATGGTGGTGGTGATGATGATGGTGGTGGTGATGATCATGAGGATGACAGTTGTGGTGGTGATGATCATGAGGATGACAATTGTGATGATGATGCTGATGACAATGATGATGATGATGATGATGATGATGATGTTTGGCTGATACAGAAACAACCCCTGAGTCTGAAGGGAGTCTGTCGGATACTGATGATGGGTGGATGAATTGGGCATGGTCCTTTGTGCCTCAGATACTCCCCACAGATGAAGAGCAGGAATATGATGAGAACAGACCCAGGGGGAAGCCCTCTCCCCCACTGTTGTCAATAGGATTCTACGTGCATCAGGCCTCCGTCACATTTAAGGTAGGCAGGTAGTCAGCATTACAGTAAACTATGATTTTATTTTTAATGAATGTGCTTATTACGAACTGATGGACATAACAAACTGTCCTTTTTCCTGGCCACTTGTATATTTTATTCAAACTGATGAGTGAGTGAGTTTATTTTCATACCACACTCAGCAATATTGCAGCTATTTGGTGGCTGTCTGTAAATAATCGAGTCTGGACCAGACAATCCTGTGATCAACAGCATGAGCATCGATCTACGTAGTTGGGATACAATGACGTCAACCATGTCAGTGAAGCCTGACCACCTGATCCCGTTAGTCGCCAACTACAGTTTTGACATGAGTGGTCCCTTTGAGCTGGTTGTATAACCGTAGTTTAGTGTATTATGTGTATTATAGCTAATTATTGGGAACAATAGTGTATTGAGGGAAAACAGCAATGTTTTCAGTTTTATCCTCGCCTTGATCATTTCAGTTGAGATCTGATTTTCAGTGGCTCACCATTACTAACTTCCCATGGCAGAGAATATTTATCCTGTCATCAAAATATTTAAACACCTTAGTGTATAGGATAAATCATGAACAAATTAATATGAAATAATATTTCTGCACTAACACTGTGTTTGCTTTTGAAACAGCTTTGAAATAATCACCGGCCGAAGGCCCAGCACCGGTTGTTATTGTGTCGGGCCTGCAGTTTCAGATATTTGCAGGCCCTTGTGGCCTTCAGTAAATTATCTGTCAATTTTGTTTTCAGCTGGAATCTTCCCATAATTTGTTTTCTTTATTAACGTTCGGGAATCATTCATGATCCATCATGTTACGAATACCAGACAGTTTCACTTCCTGGTATTTCAGCACTTTGAGCATAGGACTGTCGACACCAGTCTTTAACAAGTACATTAAAACCTTCTCTCTCCGCCATAGGCTTCGCTAACTGATTTTGTAGAAACCGTGTGAAACTGTGTACAGTGTAGTCTATTTTGATTTTATTGGTTTGATTTTAACAAAAGGGCCTGCAGATTTCATTCAGGGCCTGCAGATTTTAAAGCCTGCAGGCGGCAGCAGGCCCTGATGACCAACTGGCAAATTAAAGTATTGTATACACTGTTTTGAAAGAAAGAAAGAGGACCAAGTTTTGTTACTGTTTTATGCTGTACATGCCACATCATGATGCAGCCGTACAAATACGATAATGTGTACAGAATTGTCTCGTCTGTCATCACAATGATCAGTAATGTAAACTTGCAATTCTTTTTCAGAAGAAGTCCTCCTTGGGGTACATATTAGCATTAAAATGTCCATTTTAAATCCTAGGACAGTTGTAACTATATTTTTCAATAAAATATTTACAAAACAAAAAATTCGTTTTGTCTTATGAGACCACCATCTTTTGTTGTACAGGGCCCCACCTGACCCCTACAGCCAAGAGCAGGTAACTCTATATTAGCGTCTACCTCGTACCTCACTTTTCATGCTGCCGTTCTGTTGAATAGATGTGCGTGGTGTTCGTTTCGAGTTTGCTCTCCAACTGATACGATGAGTGTAAAAGAGTCTCAATCTGTATGTATGGTTCCTTTCTTTATGCACGGGCGTTAGATGGGCTTCATATGTTCATATTCTCACAACGATCAAGGATGTTCATAATAAGCGCCCTTACGTCAATATTCCTGTTATGTTATGTTGTGTTATGTTACACATACACATTTCATACGTTTATACACAACGTGGCTCATAGTGGCCGAGGTTGTGTTTTTGTTTTGTTTTTGTTTTTTGCCTGGGTTTCTGTGCCTCACGCGCATTCTTTCAGGCACGCAGATTTTATGTTTTTCACCAATCTGCTTCAGGCGGGGGATAATTTTTGATGAAAGGTTTCTAAGGAAATCCCTTTATCGTCCCCACGCCTACTCCTCCCCCACAAACAATGTTGCTACCCTAACGATTCATTTCGTACTTATAGCAGCAACGCAGATCGTCGGTGCACGCTCTTATCTCAGATGTGGTTTCCAGACTCCGAGAGGAGATTGGTACCGAGTCTATGGGTAGAGATTACACTGGCGCATCTTTTGGGTGAGGTCCCGACCCGTGCTCCGGCTCCGGGAAGGGTCCGACCTCCCGGGGACGATCGGACCCGAGCTTCGGCTCAGGGGACGCTCTGAACCTGGGGACTAGCACCGACCCGGGCTTCGGCCTCGGTAGGGCGCAGATCCCCGGTGCCGGTAGCTCAGGTCTCATCCTGATGTCTATCGACGCCCAGGCCAGGAGGCTGTAGAGTGTGACGGAGCTACCGAGCTGCCGATCGCCTCGACGCTCCGAGGTCTGCCTGTGTACACCAGGGGAACCCTGCATTGCCAGGCTACTCCCATGTGTCTCGGGACCGGGGTTCGGACTAGCACCAACCTGGGCTTCGGCCCCTGTATGGAGCAGATCCCCGGCGCTGTTAACATCAGGTCTTGCCCTGATGTCTATCGACGCCCTGGCCAAGAGGCTGTTGAGTGTGACGGAGCTACCGATCACTTCGACGCACCGAGGTCTAACCTCCCGACCTGAGCACTTATATATATATATATTATAAATGTATATCTATGGGTATTTATATAGCGCTATAGGCTATGTTTGACTATATGCTCAGTGAGCTTTTGGAGACAGTACTGGGGGAACCCTGATTTATCAGGCTACTCCTACGTGTCTCGGGATTGGGGTTCGGTCTAGAACCGCAGAGCTTTGGCTCCGCGGATGCTCTGAACCCCGAAGCACCGACCCGGGCTTCGGCACTGGTAGGGCGCAGTTTCCCAGCGCCGGTAGTTCAGGTCTCGGCCTGATGTCGATGCTTTGACCAAGAAGCTATCGAGTGTGCCGGGTGTGTCGGTCACCTCGACGCTCCGAGGTCTGTCTGAGTGCTTGGGATACCCTGATTTATCAGGCTACTGCCATGTACCTCGAAACCGGGGTTCAGGCTCATACAGTGTACAAGTTGATTTGAGCTTCGGCTCTTTTCGCTACTTTGAACTTAACACTGAGTAGGTTCGTTCCTGAGGCAAGTGCGAGATAGAATGTGTTGCCTCAGGTGTTGTCCGTGTCAAATACCCCGAACCGTTAGAGTTCGCCTCCCAGAGGGAAGCCTGCTTCCAGCAAGGCATCCGGGGCAAGGCCTCACACTCTACCGTCAGTCTGCTGTTGTTTCCCCTTAACAGCTCAACGAGCTGTATGCTCCACTCGCCGCATCTATCAGCTCTGCTGAGGGAGCTGGTGGAAAGGGGCAAGAGTGCCGGTGATTTTTCATCTGAAGGAGGTCAACTCTCATCTGGCTAGGGACTGCATTGTAGCTGTGCCAGCCAAATGATGAGGGTGGTTATGGGCCTATGGCGACCGGGACTGTTTCGAGGAATACGGAAGTCTGTCGAGCTTCTCGTTAATCCCTCAGGTGCCCAGGCACCGGCAAACGTTATGTTGCCGACTGCAGGGGTTTACTGTATTCTGCTACAAACCCCGGTAGAAGTGTGACAGGCCAGTGTCTGCTTCCCGTAAGGCGGCGAAAATACTCCGTGCCGAGATCCAGTCTCTGCTGGGCAAGGCAACCATCGAGGTGGTTTCCAATGGTCAGTAAAATGTGGGGTTTGACTCCGTATATTTCCTTGTTGCCATTAAGAACGGAATGTTCAGACGCATTCTCATCTGAGAGCTGAACAAGTTAATAGAGGTACTGTCCTTCAAAATGGAGACACCGCGCTCATGGTGATATCATCTGTCGAGATAGGGGATTGGTGCACGTCAATCGACCTCGAGGTCGCGTACCACCTTGTCTATTGCACCCTGATTTCAAGATTTACCTTCGGTTCTTCTTAGACGGGACGTGCTACCAGTTTCGTGTGCTCCCCTTAGGCTATGATACGGCGCCAAGGGTGTTCACGAAATTGAGGTTTATTACAGCCCAGATAGCCAGATCGCAGCTAGTGCCGGTGTTGTCACCCGTACCTAGGCGACTGGCTCATCGGGGTTTTAGAATAACAGTTGAGTCTGGGAACCTCACGATCAGTGTTGATCACTCTTACTTAAAGTGTACTGAATTGTCAACCTCACGCTTCTGTCGATCAGTGTTGATCACTCTTACTTAAAGTGTACTGAATTGTCAACCTCACGGTTCTGTCGCTTCTTTGGAGCCGCAGAAGGCCTTCATTCGCCATTATCGACTTGATTAAATTGCATTCTAAGGATCATGCACGGTTCGGTCTTCGGTTCTCTCCAGTGGAGAGTGTCCTGCCACCCTGACCAAATTAGTAACTGGTCATTGGTATCGGTTCTGTGTTCAATGTCGACATATGGTTCATATCACTACATCGTACAAGCCTTACCACCATTTTGGGTTGGGTCGGTTTGGGTGTACATACCGCCCCACGCCCTCTTCACTTAAGGCAAGAGAGGGCAGGGCCGGTTTTGAACGCTATAACCAGTCATATGCTGTTAACCCGCCTTGCGACGGAATTGGGTACGAACCCCCACGGTCACTGTTTGGTATGCCTCTCTTCAAGCTGCATGTCACATGACCAGGTTAGTGTAATAGTGAGCCAACACATGTTTGGCTACGCCACTAATAAGGGGATTTTGTACGCTATCAGTTTTTCCCTCTTCCCAAGACTTTGGTATTCGGAGTCTGTGTTAATCAGCACTTTGGGTAATGGTGGTTTACACTTACCCTCCTCACGGCGAGCCGCTTTGGGGGGTGTTTTATCCTGCTTTTCACTCGCATACAATGCATAGCGTTTGTACTGCCTCGATTTCAGTAAGTTTTAGCGAGACTAATAATTTCTCTGGGTTTTATCGAGGTCCCGCAAGCCCTCTTCCAAACAGGAGGGGTGCATTCGAGCATTAGTTTGCAGTACTTATTAACTCGACTTGGTTATTGGCTTTAAGCGTTTTTACTTTCCCTTCCTGATACCTCTCGCCACTTCTCTGGTTTGGGCTATTAAGGTTGGGAGTTGTTTCGGCATGTCCCCATACATTACTTTCCATTGTAATGGTTGGGTGTGGGGTTTTATGTCATAATTGATTTGAGCCAATTGACGTATTAGCTTGGGCTCTCTATTTCCCCTAGCCATGCGCCCGCCCCGACTGATTGACATGAGCTGTCAGGTAAGTGTGTTTTTCTATTTCTGTATTGGTTGTAGATTTCACTCCTCCACAGGTTTAGTTGTTGCCAGACAGAATGCCACTCCCTGGTCTCAAATATCTTTGGGAGTTTGTCTTATGCTTATATGTACCCCAAGGAGGACTTCTGATGAAAAGAATTATACAAACCTGTAGAGGTTATGAATTCTTTGAAGAAAGTCCTCCTTGGGATATCTCCACCACCACCATCTCGGGTCTGATAATGCTCAGCATGAAAAGTGAGGTAATGAGGTAGACGGCGCAGAGTTACCTGCTCTTGGCTGTAGGGTGTCCGGTGGGGCCCTGTAGGGTTGGTCTCACAAGACAAAACAAGTTTTTTGTTTTGTAAATATTTTATTGAAAAATATAGTTACAACTGTCTTAGGATTTAAAATGGACATTTTAATGCTTATATGTACCCCAAGGAGGACTTTCTTCAAATTCATAACCTCTACAGGTTTGTATAAATTTGATTACGATTCCAGACTTTTTGTAACATCCTATTGATTATGCTGACACGAGCGTGTAAAAGATATTTCTAAAACTGAAATTATGTTCAGGTTGCAGTGTCATTATCACAGGTTGCATATACAAAAATAATGTCTTGCAGTTAACGGAGAAGGTGAAGGAGTCTTCTAGCCAGTACGCCTCCACAGGGAGAATCAACTACCATCCTTTCCTGTATCTGGACTCCGAGGGCCTCTCTTCTGATATTCTGATGCATGGGATCACCTTCTTCGATGCGCAGTGTGGTGTCACTACGCTGCGGTATCCTCCACGGGCATGTGCATCTGTGGGGCCAAGGACGAGGGTGATCCGAGGGTATGTAGGACACTGCTTTGTTACAGCTGCAACAGTTGGTCTTGGTTAACATTTACTCATGTTTAGCTTCAAGATGGAGTCAAGCTTGACAGTCTTCAGTATGTCATGCATGTAAGAGCTGAGTATGATGTGGATCTTGAGGTCAAGCTATGTGAGTAACTGAGTGTGTGAATATGGTTTTCACGACACTTTCAGCAATATTCCAAGGAAAGGAACTCCTACAATGTGACTCATCTACTAGTCTACAGTATTTCCAGGTGAATGGGAAAACTGATTATCTGTGTCGAAATATGAGTAACTCATGACAGTTGTGTGATCTGATTTGGTTTATGCAGACACATGATATGAATTTATCATTACGGTTTCACAAGTTTCAGTTCGATGGAATGTATTTTAAAGATTTTCATTGTGTCCTCTTTGCTGGAACTCGAACAACTTGGAGGTGACAAGTAAATGTCATCATATCAGATACAACGACGTATATGTCCATTCAGACTTTCCAAGATGGTTTCCAAGATGCCAGTCAGGCAGCATGATTGTTTCCTCACTTTCGTTTATCCAGCCGATGCCATATAGCTGGCATATTGCTGAGTGCGGCATAAAACTAAACTCACTCACTCACACTTCTTTTATCCAGAGCATGGTGCTGCTACAGGCAGGAGAGTCACTGAACAACAAGACTGTGGTGAACTACATCAGTCAGTCCCTGTTTGACCCCAAGTCAGCCGAGAACCAGGGTCAGGCTGCGGAGTTTGTCAGCGATGGAGAGAAACACATGGAGCGATACACGGAGCAGTTTGGTCTGCAGAAGTATGGAGCATTCTGGTTTGACTATCTGTACTTCATGACAGACATGGAGCCCAAGCACTGTAAGTTGACCTGCATTTTTTTATGGTTGCCATGGTAAAAGTGAGGACAGAATATGTAGCACTGGATAGATATAATGATGAAATGTGTTGGCAGACGGCCATTATGCCACACAAATGTGGAAGATAGCTTAAGATAAAGTACTTTAGTTGTAACCAGGAAAGAATCTTGGACCTTCCTTAATTCTGACACCGATTAGGTTTGTTGTACCTTTGTAGTGCTGGAATTGAATGTTTACATCTCTCTTGTAGAAATGTTACCTGAGGAAATATATAGATCTCTACCTTTTTCATAAAAATACAAAGTTTTCCTTATCCTGACTCATACTATGTGGTTCTTTTCTCCGTAAAGAAATACACTCATTGATAGACCGTCAAAGTTGACTGTCTGCATAAGAACTTATTTTTCTTATCCTGACTCATGCTTATTTGTTTGTCTTCTTCTTCTGGCGAACCTAATTGGAACACTTGTATCTCCCAATTGAAGTTCCTTCAATAAAGAATCACTCATTAGTACTCACCACGAGTTACCTCCCTTCTGTAAGCGGGGAGCGAGGGCCACCCAAGCCCATGTGCCTCACTCTCTCCTTCTTAAGCCCAGTGAGCTGGACGTGAGAGCCTGTGTCTCCCAACACACTATATCCTTTAATTATATTTAGTTAGTTCCTCTTATACGTTAGTATAGAGGTAGTACTAGTATAATTATTCAATTTGTAATTGATAATTAATTGTGTTTCTGCTGTTTTATTCCGCGGTTCGTCGTGTTTCTTCAGTAGGCTACATTAATGAAAAATTGCACAGAATGTTATAAACACGTTATTCTGATACCGATCCACATTTAAAATGCCCTAGTTGCATTACTCCATGTTCCTTTGATTCTCGTTGTAAAATTTTGTATCAATTTACCTATCTCTGCCTTTGACAAATATTTATGTTCCGTTTATAGACGGAAGGCAGATAAATCCCGTAAACAGAATTCAAACATGGCTAATAGATCGCATAAATTAATTTCATGTCAACTGTTGACTGAGGACACGCCACCAGCTGGTGGCATGCCTGAAGTTTCCCTCGGCGGATAAGCGTGGGACGTGATCCGCTATGTCCAAGAAGCGACCTGCATCTCAAGAGCTGCCGTCTTCTCAGTCCAAGTCGAGGGAAACCATCCATATCATCTCGCGTACACTCGCGTACACCAAGATCTACACCTTCATATCTAAAGGGAAGTCAACAAAATCTAATAATTTTGCCTCTGATATCTTACCAGTTACAGAATTAGCATTATATGATGATGATATGCCAAATTATCATTCCAGAAGTTCGATGCACAAGAAAGCGGCCCGCTTCTGCGATCGTCACCTCAGCGCCAGATGAACACACAACTGGAGATGCCGACTCTATCTCCAGGAAATTTTATCTGAGGGTCCCGTCACCTCTGCAGAGAGACATCCTCATCAACGTGAGACGCTTCAGGACGTGACTTGATCAACCACATAATGAGGGTGATGGAAGACTGCCTCTGCTTAGAGGCCTCAGAGCCACGGGCCTCAGAGCCCACCCCATATTAAGTCATACAGGGCCTCAGAGCCCGCCCTTTGGCTTCAGCTGTAGGGCCTCTGGAGCATCCATAGCGCGCCTCAGCTGAAGGGCAACCCTGCCCGGGTGAGCTCTTTGCATAAGGTATCCCAGGCTGCCTCCGTGAAGGAGCCAGAGCCTCACCTTTTGCAAGAAGCCCATGCGGAAGGAGCGCTTCGCCGAGCACGCACCTTGTCATGCATCGAAGGGCGTCCAGCGAAACGCCATATGTCGGATCGGACACTGACTCAGACATTGGCGTGGGACGCCGAAGGCTAAGTGGTTCTACATCGCCTAGAAGGCGATCGGCGTAGCCCTCAACGCCGGAGAAGTCCAGAGCGTCTGCGAAGCCATCACCGCTCACGAAGCCCCACAATCTCAGCGAAGGATGTCTTCTCCAAAGGTCTACATACACTAGCCACTCGTCAGTCCGTTCTCCTCAGTCCTCACATAGATCTTCTTACAGATCGAGGGACTCGACATACTGACCATACGTCAGAGGAGGACGATGGTATCATTTTCTCAGAGGCTGAGATAAGGCATTGGATGGTAAGCGAATTACAACTGGCCTCTCCCTCTAAGAACGAGGATACAGCCCAAACTTACCTGATGTTAGATGATGATGTAGATCATATCACCGTGCCTCCTATGGATCCTATCGCGGCCGTTCCTGCTAAACTGGATACAGCCTACTCCAAATCTGCTAAAACTCAACTTACCCATTTACCATTCTTCAATGCCAAGAGTTTTATGGACATAATATGGAGCCCTTTTCAAGACTCAGGAGATTGATGAAAACTTTAAACTTATCAGTGATTCCAAGTCCAGAAGTTATAGGGTAGACGATCGTAGTAAGATGGCCCAGTTAGATACCATTTCCAGAAGGATGTTCTTTGGACTCAACAGATCTAGGACTGTTAAGCTAAACTCTCATCACCAAGTTCAAGAACTCCACGGATGAGGAAGACAGGATGATCTATTCAGCTCTACTTATGCAGAAAAAGATCAACAATTCCTTACAGACCATCTTTCAGCACTTACTGAAACTACTACCATGACACGTCGGCAAGGATTACTAGCCTCCTGCTCTTGGAATAAACAATTCACAGAGCCCCTATACACAGCTCCATGGTCTTCACCCTTACTGTTTGGTGGCAACATTAACAAGGTCTCCAAGGAAGTATCAAAGATTCTAGAGAAGTACTCATGATTAAATCTATGGATACATTAAGCGCCGCGCCTTTAAACAATCAGCACAGAGGTACTCGGGCAAGTCCAAGTTTTCAGGGCTACAGAGAGCACGGATAAGAAATTAGCGGCCGTTAATAATCCCAAGGATTCCTTTAAATTAAGCCCGTATAACAAGTTCAGAGGAGGATCAGCTAGAGGCAGATCATCCAGAGGTGCCCGATGGATTTAAACGATGAAAGTCAGGTTTGGAGCGACTGGAGTCTTTCCACCCCCAGTCAGTCCCAGTACAACCTTCTCAAGTGGGTGGGCGTCTACAACTACACTGGGAAAACTGGGGAATACTTCAAGATCCGTGATGTATCCAACATCCTTCAGTAACGGATATCGATCTACAACTCAAGGCCAAGCCACTGTTAACAGTCAACCCACCAGGGTTCAAGGTTCATCTGGCACAAATTCCGATGTTAAGAGAAACAGTTCAGTCTCTACTAAACAAACAGGCCTTAGAAGTTCGCGCATCAGCAAAACATCATACCAGGTTTCTACTCCCCAGTTTTCCTAGTGCCGAAAAAGAATTCCAAAGAGAAGTATCGTCTCATTTTACAACATGAGCACATTCAACAGAGAATTTCTATATGTAAACCACCAGCGTTTCAAGCATGATACATTTATAGTGTTTCCCCCAGGATAATGAAAGGGCAGGGTAGACTCAGAGAAAAAAGGGCACTTTAAAACTCAAAAGGGCATTCAGAAAACAAAAAGGCACAACAATTAAGGGTTCAGTAATTTACTGTGGCTGACATCAGTTGATGCAAGTTCATAAATTATTTGTTCATATTCTTCTCTTCTTTCGTGCCAAGAACTTGGCCACACACGTCCTCAAGTCAATGTCAGTAGATGACTTAGCATTCATGCTGACCATAAGTTGCTTGGTGCAGTTATTCACTTTCAGCCTGTTCCTATGGTCTGTCACAATGAGTTTTACCCTGGAGAAGACTCTCTCAACCTCTGATGTCGAAAGGATCACTGTAGCATGGATACTCAGGAGCTTCACAATGTTTGGGTAGAGGTCTCCCAGTTGGGGCTTGAGGCTTGTCAGAGTCTTCAAGATGGTGGATGGTGAACATGTGTCAACTTCCTCAGCAAAGAGTTCCTTGACCTGACTCCACTCAAGCTGTGTTTTATCAACATCCAGGTCAAAGTGCTCAGCCAGTTCTGTAATCTGCAAAATTTGAATATTATGTCAATATATGAATGTGCAAAAGCCAGTTTTGAATAGTACAAGTTGGTTTTCATTTCTTACATTTACCTTTATCAATATCAAAGTTGTTATATTTTACAAAATCAGTTTGAGTGAATTTATTTCCAATACCTCAGCATCACCATGGAATGTCAGGAATGAAGAGTCTCCAGCCTTCCTCAGATCCAGTGCAGATAGGCTTGTCAGGATGGGGTGACCTTCATTCTCTCCTCCAGGTTCTCTATCAGTTTATCCAAGAACAGAGTCTTTGACCTTGAGACATCTGTTCTCCTGCTATCACTTTTCTCCAGGTTATACTGCTCTCCAAGTTGATCCACGCGGGAGAGGTATGGACCAGGTTTGTCCTTCATCTTTTTCAAAGATGCCAAGCAACTTCTCATCTGAGGCTCAACAACACTTAAGTCTAGATCTCTCCTCTCAAACATCTTTGTCAATCCTGACAGGAGTGAACAGGCGTCACACAGAAGCAAGATGAAATAGAACTTGTGGTAGGACATGAGCTGTTTGTACAGACCTTGGCAGTCACACTCTGTTTGTCACCAGCCAGCTTGTCATTCCCCATACCAACTGCATTCTCAAGGTCAGCAAGGATTGCAGGATAGCTTCTCCTGACAGCATGAACAGCTTTTTCATGACTCAGCCATCGAGTGTGGACAGCCTTTTTGATTGTCACATTACATGTGTCTGTGTCATCTGCAGTGTTTTCCATTTCTCTGGTCAATGTCTGCATCTGCTCAAGGCTCTTGGATCTTACAGTACTGTAATGATAGTACTTAAAAAGTCCCATTAGCATTTCATCAACTGATTCGATTTCAGTCACTGATTTGAAGGCTGAACTAACAGCCAGTTGCAGTCTATGGTTCACACAGTGGACATCAACCAAAGCAGGATTGTCTCTCTTCAGTTGAGCAACTACTCCATTCCTTTTGCCTGTCATAACAGCTGGACCATCACTTGCAAAACAGGTCATTTTATTCTG